ATCTTTGGCTGGTAGTTGGAACCCGGTTGTGGACGACCCTGAGCGATTCAACGTGGCTTTGGGATGAAATTGGCAGCAGGCGGTCTCTCAAGTACCCAGGTCCAATACCATGAAGGGCTTTATAAGTTACGACTTTTGGGGCAATGGTGGTGGGGTTGTAAAAAGGTGGGATTTTATCGCTCTTGTGGAAGCCCCTTCCCCCCTCAGGGAAGAGACGGGCGGTATCCAAAACCTGATAAGTAAAATAAAGATGCCATAAGCGCAGGAGCTTCGGGCAGGAAAATTTGGGGAATCTTCCTATTTTGTCTAGAACATAGCCAGATCAAAACCACCCTGCTTTCGCCCTTTTTTTTACTGTGTTTCCCTGAAAATAAGACAGGGTCTTGTTTTCTTTTGACCCCCAAAATAAGCATTTGGCCTTATTATCGGGGAGTTCTTATTATTTTTGAGGTGCAGGAGGCGGCGAGCGTGGTCACTCATGGCTACTGCTGTGTTGCAATATTTTCAGGGGAGGTCTTATTTTCAGGGAAGCGGTATCCCGCCACCCGCTCTGCTCTATTCCCTTGTTCAGCCTGGAATGGGAGAGGGAGGTGGGGGGAGATGTTCATGGCCAGAGCCCCTTCAAACGCTGGGCTGACCCTCACCTGCAGACTGCTGCTCTCACAGGGAGAAGCACTGCTTTCCGCCAATGGATCCATAGAGATGCAGGACCTCTCCATGCTCAATCCAGTCATAGCCCCCCCGTCGCATTCAGACGATCCTTTCACCGAGTTCTCATCCAACATCTCCGGATCGGCCATTTCCACTGTTCGTTTCTCTCCGGAAGAGTCCAAGCAGGGCCGGAGTGCCAATCCTTCGGGGGTCTCCGGTGAGAGAGCCCCAGCGGCCATCTCCGAGGGGGACCCCGCTAATGGGATGTCCTCGTTTATAGGGGTCAGGCCCGCCCTGGGACTCCCGGCCCACGTGGCCTCGGCTGCTTCCGCCAGCTCTTCCTGGAAGTTCTCCGGGGTGCAGGGGAGGCGAAGGAAGGAGCTCTGATACAGGGCGGTCCCCCAGCAGGAGAGGAGCCTCATGGGCGAGTGACTCCTTAACGGAGAGCATTCCATGTGGGGACTCCTGCTGCTGGTAGGAGGAGCCTGACGGCAGGCGTTGGAAACGGAAGGAAGATCCGGAGAGCGGAAAGTAAACTGCCTTTGACCTGCGTGGTTGGAGGGTGGGAGAGAAAGGTAGAAAATGTCAGAGGGAGAATACACCAAGGGTGCAGAATCAACAGGCCTCTCTTGATAACCTTGCTGAAGCCTTTTGTCAGAAAGGGGGACTACTCCAGGCTGAGATATACAATATTTTGTAAGGTAGTATTGAAAACCAACAGAAATAAGTAGAAAGCTTAAAATGGGGAAATAGTAGCACATACGGTATCTCTCGAGGTATAAGACAGATTCCCCTCTACCCCAAAAGAGGGTGAAAATTTGGGTGCCCACCCCCTAGACGACAATCCTTTAGGTCCCAGCATGAGGCCTCTACTTACATACCCGCCATTGGAGTTTTTCTTAGCTGGATGCCAACGGGAGAGAAAGTGGGCGACGCCAGATTTGCCGGGCTCCTGCGTGCCAAGGACGGGCTAGGAAGGCTGCCCAAACTGTACGTCCTGGCATTCCCCCGGATGGGGCTGGAGGAGAGATGGCCCTTTCAGGCACAGGAGAGATTCTCATTAAGAGCGAGCCACGGAAGGCATTGGTCACAATTGCATCTCTCGTAACCCAAGCTTCACGAGTTGACAGCCTGACATTAGCAACGGGGAGAACCCACCCCCTTCCTCCCCCCTCAACAGCCAAGACAATCTGCAGAAAGCATGGGAAATCAGTTCCCCATGAAGGATGTTTTTGGCTTCTTGGTCCAAAACCAGCTGAACTCATCCTGACCCACACAATCAACATCTCCAGCTTGAGCTACTTCTTGTGGCCAGCCAGTGGAGCTGGCAGCAGATCCAGACAGTGAGGAGGTTGGGGAGGAACTTGGGCCAGTCCGGGAGTCTGGGGAAGGCTCAGATGAGGGCTCTGCATCGGAGGCAGAGATGGGGCCAGGGCCGTCTGGCATTTACCAGCTGCTTTCAGAGTCAGACATCAGTGAGGCAGGCGAACAGGTGGAGTCTGTTCCCATTGTGTGCATGCGCGGAGTTGCCAGACGAAGGGAACAGCTAAAGAACAAGGGTCGACTTGGGAGTGAGGCCACAGGTGGACGGTGAATGGCCCCTCCCAGAGGAAATAGAAGAGGAGCGAAAGGAGAGTGGAGTTTGCATGAGACAATTAGTTCATTCCTACATTCTTGCCAAGTATTACGGCGTCTGAAAGATCTCGGCCTGGCCACCCTCCAAGCCTGATAAAGGTTGGTAATTGTGAATGATCTTGAAAGACACTGGGAGAGGAAAGACTTTGCTGGAGAGGAATTCACTGTAAATTAAATAAAAGGGCTTTATCGAAACGAGGACTCGGCTTCGAGCTGCTGGGGAAGCCTAGGCCAGAACACTACTCACTGAGCTGTCAGAACTCAGAGGGCTCCTGCAGCGGACCGGAGAGAGGTCGATGGAACAGAGGACGCCTAAGGAGGCCGGGCCGTTGCGCAGGCCGAGAGAAGGGGAGGGGCTCTCGGAGGAGAGACCATTCTCATCCAAAAACAGCTTTCTCCTCAAGGAGGAAGTGCTGAGGTTTTCCTGGGACTGGTCAGCCGATTCGTCGGCTTTGAAATAGTCACCTGAGGAAGAGGAGACGAGTTTTCTATTTAAGATTCATAAATTACCATATTTTTCGGATATAAGACACACCGGAGTATAAGAAAGACACACCAAGATTTTGAACAGGTAAATTAAAAAAAAAAAATTGCACTCTGCCGGCCTCCCAAACCCTCTGCATGCCTCGGGTTTTTTTGTGAAAAATGGGACATGCAGAGTTTGAGAGGCCTGTAAAGTGCTCCTGGGGGGCCTGGGGCAAAAACGGGCAAAAAACAGCACGTTTTTCATAAAAAAGCCCCCCCCCCTTTTTTTTTAATTACAAAAAACGCATGTATAGGCTTTGGGAGGCTTGTAGAGTGCTCCTGGGAGCTGGGAGCAAAAACGAGCAAAAAACACCCTGTTTTTGCATTTGTATTTAGTTTATTTGTATGCCGCCCTTCTCCAGGAGGGACTCAGG